ATGTACATTTAGCTACCAGTAACTACTTTCCTGTACAAGAGGACACAAACAAGTCACTGATGAATGTGGTAGAAATGTAGCATGTTATGTTGCAGAAATGTACATAATAAGGTCAATTCATTCTCACTTTAATTAAAGATCCTGTCTTACATGATGTGTGCAACAAATTATTGTCACAAGTTGTTTATAATGATGTGGTGTGCGTTGCTGAATACAGTCCCTCATAGCAGCAGTAAACCTTTCATCCGTATTTAATCTGTTGCATACATTGCTGGCTTTTAAACTGCTGCTGCTTGAAGCAAAATAGGGAAGGATTTTTTTTTAGTTTCTTCTGCATGAGTTACAATTACTGCGTATTAAATGGGTTGCCCCGTTTGCAAAAGTGGTAATAGGATAGTAGAAGTTGTTTGGTTGCTTTGCGAATCTCTGTATTCCTGAAGTAATAGATGACTACATTTACCCAGCTGTTTGTTAAACAGGGTAGCAGAGTTAGAAAGAAGGTTGTTACTTTGTAGGATGGGTTATGTGATAGGAAGAGAAAAAGAACAGGCAGAAGATTCAAAAACAGTGCACTCAAAGCTACGAGGAACAAGGTATTCAGTGCCCTGTGTTTAGGTCTTGCTGGCTGATTTCCCTGTTCAGCGAGCTGGTTGTCGGCATGAATGCGGCGTGCGTGATGACGTGAAATCAGAGAAAGTCTACAGTGCACAGTCAGAAGTGCCAGCAAACTGCTGAGCACCGTGGATGCAAATGTAACTTGCAGGTAGATTAGTACATCTGTGCCTGGTTTGTAAAAGGTGCATGCCAGTGCACCCTTTGAGTAGATAGTTTCCCAGCTGGCGAGAATGCCTGCCCCTGTCGCAGTGCATAAGCCAATTACCCAGGCAGCACAGGCTGCAATCCGTGCTCGCTTCACCGTCACTAAAGCATGATAACGGAGTGCATACACCACGGAAATGTAGCGGTCTGCAGAGAGCAGGAGCAGCGATAGGAGGGAACTGGTAATGAAGGAGATGTACAAGAATGACTGCAGCCCACACATGGCATCCCCAAACGGCCAGGTTCCGCAGAACGTTGAAACAGTCATGGGAGCGGCCCCAAAAATCCCCAGTCCCAGATCGGCAGCTGTCATAGATCGGAGAAACACTTTGGTGGTGTCGTAGACTGTGTTGACGTGTCTCAGAGCTAGGAGACAGAGTGGGTTGAGGATAAAGAGTAAAGCGGTTGATATCAGGAGGAAGATACATGCTGTGATGGTATACACGTAATCAGTGTTGGTCTCATTTTCCGGCATTGCGGATGCACCATGGAGGGAGTCATTGTAGAATCCCAAATCCATCAGTTTTTGCATTGAAGTTGTTCTGGTCATACTTGGAGCAGAGTTCAACAAGAACACTGCATGTTCTCCAAATAAAGTGGTGTATGTGTGGGTTTGTGTAAAAGTTGTCCAAAGCACAACAACTTCATTGGCTCCGTGATCAACGTACACGTATTTGATTAGCCCAGCATCCAATTAAATGGTTGATGGTTTCAGCGACGTGTGTAATCAGGCTAACACAAAATGTGCCCTTGACAGTAGTTTTCATAACATCACTGTCAGGTTGCTTATTATTAGATTTCATTTTGAATATGTGGGAACCAAACCAGCTCATTGGTCAAAGCCAAGCTGTTGTTAGAACAAATACAATATGCTAACCAACACTGTTCCCTGCTGTTGGATTTTTTTCTTTGATACTTCAGTGTTGCCTGATATGCCAACAACTCATCCACGTGTCATACCCTCCCGGTCTCTGAAACTGTTTCCATATTACCAATTAGACTCATCGTCCATCAAATGCCATGACAACAAATGGCCCATGGTACCATTCTCATTATTATATCAGCTGTCAATTTATGGCTTGGCATTAGGTCTTTATTGGAAAACAAGGACTGAAGAACACATTAAAGGGTAGCTGCAATCAATTCATTTCAATGCAAACCTTGAAACTACAGGTTTGTGTCTCAGTTTACCTTACTTCCAACTTTTGTTTCACTATTTCAAATGGCATTTTACTGCCTGTTTGGTTTTTATTCCATATTCATAAGCAAAGGTTTGATGTCATCTCAGGAAGAAAGCCTCAATGTTACATTGGTTTGTACACGAAAAAGTCCTGACTTTCTGGACGAAATTTTTTCTTCCATGCTTAATTATTGCTGTTTATGTGCAAAGCACTAAGCAAACATCAATCCCTTTCTCTGAACTACTTGCAGTAGGTACATGTACATTCTGGGTTCACAATTTGCACAGAAAAACCTATGCACTGAACAATGTCTTTCCTCGATGCCATCAAGCAACGGCACCCTCAGTTGTCCAGGAAAGCACGGATAATTGTTTAAGTTTCAAAAAGTGCACTTTTCAATGCTTATAAAACTAAACAGGAACATGAAAGAGTTTTCATACTTTAACTGCAAGACTGCACTGCAGGAAAAACTGTACCTAAAAATCACTGCGACTGCATTTTAACTAAAAACAGACTGAAATGCCAGATTGAGTGGGAAAAAGCAACATTCAAGTGTTGTATTTGGAGAAAACATCAAAAAAGAATACACAGTCTGCAAGTTGTTTAATGTTGATTTGGATTATGCAACTTAAAAATGTAGCCCAATTTGTTGAACCAGAAATCATGAGAGTGCCCAGAAGACAATTTGCATGATGCTGTGTAATGATAGTGTTCCCGCTTGTAGAAATAAATAACACAGGGGCAGATGTTATCTGTGGAAAGACCATTCATTCACTTTGCTTTACTTGAAGAAATATTGGCACTTATATGACAACAGCCAAAAGTCCCCTGCATTCTCAATATCATAAATGAAGACCACAATATTTTTACAGTGTATTATTTTCTGTTTTGTTTTGTTCAAAGTTTCTCACTGGAGCGACTGAATTTTCTGATGACCTACTTTTTTACAACAGTGAAACAGGCATGTTGGTTATTGTCCAGTTTAATAGTGTTCTCTACTTGCTTTTTAAGCTTTGCAATCAGCATGAAGAACACTGAAAGAATGTTAACTTCATCTGCACAGCGTTCGTCATAAGATAACTGTGTGAGCGGTAGCCATTGCTTACTCACACCATGTTCCTTGTGAAATAGAGCAACGCCTTTTGTACCATCACGTTTTTTCCCGTGTAGAATTACTTGCACAAAGGATTTTGAGTTCGAGGATTTCTGTGGCCTAATGCTTTGAGTTTTCTATGCACATGAATTTTACCATTATTTCCTTGTGTTGTTTGTGTGTAGCCGAGGTTCATGGTCTGTGTTTAATGAAGTGCAAGGTCTGCGTGTCATAATGTATTCACTTATGTTTAATTCATACACACGTGTACAGGTTCAACTTTGGCATTTCAGTGCGTCACATACAGTGGGCGGGACTTTGCAGAATGAGATAAAGTTGTTACAAGTTTGCAGTAAAGCGACACTTCTCAGTGAAAATTGTTTGACATGGACAAAGTGTGTGCCTCAGGGAAAGAAATGAGTCTCAAACTAAAAGAACATTGCTATTCAGAGATGTCTTGATATGAATTGCACATCTAGAGAAGATCTTGTTTGTGTGGGGCACTGAACAAATTTACACCACTGTGAAGTTGAGGGGAACAGTAAATGTAAAACCAGTTTGAAATTGCAAAATGTAATTGTGTGGCACTGAACTACTTTCAAAAATTAGGCCATGGAAGTAATATTACCAGAGATAATTGTTGGGTTTCGTTCCTTCTATCTGAGTGTGAAACTAGCCATGGGGATTAACTTATGGCCCCGCCACTTCCATTTGAGGATTGTAGAAATCCGTTTAGTTACTACTAATGCTATATTGTATAATTATGTTAATAATAATGATAATAATGTAGCAAATAATGTAGTAAATAATGATAATAGAGAAAATAATGCGTAGTAAATAGATAAATTGAATAAAAGGTGGAGGAGGTGGAGGAAAGGTGGCAAAGGAAAAAAAAAGGTCAACATTGCCAATGAGCGGGATGACCTTGAGTCTCTGTATCTTTCAACACATGATGTTACAACTTACCGTGTTTCTTTAATACCAATCCTGGTTTGTACATACTTGCTGTCACATTGTAGCACATACATGTAACTCATTGCCTGGTAGGCTCCTCTATGTAAGAGCACATGTATGTGAAACATATGCGTTCTAAGACATCCAGCACAACATACAAATGAATGATGAGTCTTGGGAAATTATTTCCTGCCTTGTGGATGGTTTTCCAGTCAATTCAGGAAGGTTCCCATCCGAGCTACCTGCCTATGTTTGAAAAAATCAATGTACCAGGCTTTGATTCTACATGAAGTTCTTGGCACGGATTTGTCAGTTACATAATGTAGTAAAGAGGGTAAAATCTTGTTGCTTAGCCTGCTCTACAGGATAAATGGTGTTAAACATGGTGAATTGTGCAACTGGCAAATTTTGCAGATTTTAAAAGAATGAAGTCGTTATTTGTATAAAAGAGAATGTTTTGTGTGTTTGTTCTTTTTCAGGTACTGGTACTTTGGCTCTTTGAAATGGAAGTTAACTTATGTTTTTGCAACTCTGAAAAATGTAAGTGCAAAAATTGTACGAATGCGACTGCCCTATATACAGCGTGCCGGCGATGTGCACAAGACATCAAAAATAATCAAAGCTCTTCAATGACACGTGCCAGCCATCAGTGCCACGTGCGCGCCGCCAAAGGGAATTCATATAAGGCAGCGATAATTCTTCCACAATGGGCTTTTCCAGATTCTAATTACCATCAGCTTACATATTAAAAAAAGAAAATCAACAAGAACCAAAAAAAGGAATCCTTCCCCTGTTCCCTCAATTTAAGAATGAGGCAATTTAAAAAGGATAAATTCAAAAACTGACAAAACATCACAACCCCAGTAATGCCAGAACAAAAAGCATTCACTTCCGACTTGAATGTTTGCTACATTATACATGTACACAAAAGGACCGTTTCATACAATACACTGAAGACATTGCACAGAGCTCCACATACAGCAAATTTCGGATACAAGGAACGTTTTCACAGGATCCAGCAGATATTGTTGTAACTATTGAAGCTACTTCAGTAATGATTGTGATACATCTTTAAAGCGAAACCGTGGCTATCACTTTAATGACTGGCTGTTGTTGGTAACTAAAATGGCTGATTAGGGACCGTGCTGTCCAACTAATTAGCACCTTCCCATGAATAGATTTGGAGTTAGCAAGATTAAACAACTGACACAAGCCATGTACCTGTCAATGACTAACTCTGCTTCCAATTTCATGATCAAGGAGTTGTAAATGCTTGTTGGAAATGGATCGTCAACGATGCTTTTTCAGACAACAGAGTCACAAAAACCTTCGTTGTAAGAGGAATTTCGAACAGTGTGATTTCGCTCTAACAAATTTTCGCTCCATAGAAATGTGCACATTTTCATCGGGACCAAAGATATGTGTTTGTTGTATAACCAGAATTTTGTTAAAGCCAATTTTATAATAAGAGTTGACTGCAAATTGAAAATGTTATCAATTAACAAAGATAATTGGAATGAAATGGATTAAAATATATCAGAATTTAAAATAAATACAGGTAAAAGGACTTGTTGGAAAACTTTTTTCATCCTAAAAACTCTAGCTGCATGTTTTAAGTAGAAATAAAAATCAGGCTTTGCCAACTTGCTTATATGCCCTCTCATAGTGGCCATTTTATTTTCCCTGTTTTCTCAACTTGACTCCTAAATAGGCGTGGCCGCCCGTGTTGAAAGCCAACATCAAACACAGGCCGGCCTTTGAAGTACCAGAGCCAGAGGTGGTGGTCAGAAATGCTGGCATCGACTGGTGGGCGTGGCTGCAGAGGCTGATGATCTGGAGGAACAGCCCAAAAGAGAGCAAAGGTATAATGGATACAAGCAGTAACTACAGAGGGCACCACACATTTAGTTTACATCATCATCACAAGATTGTAAACACTTTCAGCTAATTATTGTGTTTCAGAATCAGAGGCCAACACGGATGATGAAGGAACCGAAGCAGAGAAGGAGATCAAATGGACTGAGGATGACATTGTTACCACTGAGCTAGTGGTTGCCACCGGCAACAGGGATGTAGTCAAAATGGTTTGTGCTTTCTGATTTTTAGTCTACATTTTTCTGTTGCATTGTGGAGGTTTCAGTATCAGCATGTCATTTCAAGAGGATGGTCTTGACCACTGGAATCACTCATAGTAGCCAGAAAACAATGAGGGTGTACCGAGCAAAATGCTGGGATTTCCCACACTCAATAGTCGTTTTTACAACCTCTTATCTGTAAAACACATTTTCTCACAAGCTGCGTCTGCAGAGTTGTTGCGTAATGTTTTCATAATTTCACTCCTAACAACATTACACTTTCTTCAAGCCTGGCCAACCATCTCTGAGACAGAATAATGCCAATTTCCATACTGGTTTTTGTTGAGGGAACGGTAATTTATAAGTCTGTTTTTCTTTGGTTCCATAGTCACCTAGAGGCCTGAGGCTAACGAAAGGACCAGCTGAACTGTCACGGACAGAGTACATCAGAGAAGGGTAGGTTTCCATTAAGTGACAACCTGTGGGGGTCTGAGGAAATGCCCAGTGGTTAGTCAGTGATATCAGGCTCACGGTAGCAGTGTTGTCCCTCTTGTATTATTGGTCCGAGTGTGGGGTGCATTATCATTTGTGACCCTTCATCAACACTTGGTTCCTTCGATGGCAGGTCACTTTTGCAGCCTAAGTCATAATGAAACTGCATAGTGAGTACTTTTTTGCTGGAATATGTTCAGATGGAGAAGGACTGATTCAAGTCAAGAAGGTGCAAGTGGACGGTACAAAACCCAGACAGAAGAGGTCGGGGAAGTTAAGATCACACCAGTATTAAAGGAGGTTGGTACTTCAATTGATGTCAAAGTCATTGACAGTGATGCGATGACTGGGACCATTCCTTGCCAAGTTTAAGAACTTTTTAAAGACTTTTGAAATTTTAGCTGCAGAAGCATTGCTCATGATTTTCTTCACCCTGCCAGGAGTGTCTTAAGAACATGTTATAAGAACCATCACGTACATGCAACACTTGCACGTGCATCTTTCTCTCTTCACCTGTCTCAAGTCGGCATGAACAGTTCATCAAGACATTCTTCAGTTTCAATACTTAAGTGAAGTTAGATGCATCTTGTGGTGTGAAAGACCCTGAGATTAAAGACTAGCATTTGACTTACAGCAAATCAAGTCATGCTGATGATGCATCCAAGAAATAACACTTCCCTCCTCTTGCTTTTCCGTGTTCTAGCCTCTGTTCTAACAAAGCTGTCCCTGTTTCTCAGCTGTCATTTGATATCACAATTTCTCATGATTTTTTTCTCCCTCTTTCCAGGGTGTGGAGGCATGGTACAGTGTGGACAATGATAGACTAGAGGCTCAGCCAATCACAGTGCAGATACTTCCTAAAAAATTACAATTCTTCACAGACAGGCAAGATAGGGACAGTGTGATTGGTGGGCCACAAAGGACATGATTACTCCCTGGTTCTTTTGTCAGCCAATGAAATTTGTCCGTTTTCACAGGATTTGCTTATTTTTCTTTGCGAGTGAGAGGCATTTTGACTGATGGCATCATGAACAACATGGCAATGAATAGCTGGGCCATAATCCAGAAGACGGACAAGCAAAAGAGAAAAAGGAATTGAAAAGGATTTCAACTTTACTAATGAAGGAATTTGCTATTTCATGGAGCAAAATGACAGAAGTTGAGCTTCCAATGTTCCATTTAACAAGATATTTAAACGGTCAACAGAAACCTTATGTCAACATAAGTACACCCAGGAAGTAAAATAAAACAAAAATGAGTGTTTTGAGCACAACAAAGTGCTTTTATTTTGTTCCAAAGCAAGTTACAGGAAGAAAAACGATTTTGTCACGATGTCATGGTGTGTAATAAAATTTCACAACTAGCAAAGAAACATTAGTGTATGATGCTGTAAACAGATTCCTTTTTACTTCTAGGTAGTATTTTTCACATCAGTGTATAAAAATGAACTTGCCTTGTCTTTTTAAAAATGTATCATCTTCAGCTGCTGAGTTTAAAATTGTACTGAAGAGAAATCCAATACAAAAATTCAGTCAGACATCACGTGTACAACAGAGGAAATAACATTACATTGTTTGGACTGAGGGCAAATCACTCAGCACACAGAGAGAGACGGCAGTTTGTAAATGACACTCTGTTATTTTCTTTGACACCGTCGAAAGGGTATCCAAGTTTGCTTTCAAAAAGCAGTACACATTAAACAACTTTCAGTAAATCACTTCTTTGGCAAGTTGACTCCAGAGTCCCTTGACTTCTGAGTCCCCGACTTATCCTTGCCATGCTCAATGTCTACACTCTCTGCTTAACAACTACATGTAAGTTCAAATACTCAAAAAGTACTGTATCGTTTAAACAAAAAATTAAATGCAGAATTATATTGGCATAATTAAAACTGATAAATGCAGGAACTATGGGTAACAATTACTTCTACAGAGCTGAGAGATCATGCAAAGTACTAAAAACCTCTCAAATAAATCTTTCTTTTCCATCTTTCTAAATATATTGTAGTCCATTGTGCCTTTCAGTTTGACACAATGTGCACGTTCAGCTGGTCATTACAGATGGAACACACTGCTATTTCTCAGAACCACACAAGCACATGGTCTTATGGCAAACTTAATGACAACAGGTGCATGTACATAAATTGCAGCAAATGGAAGCACACCAGCTGTGCTGTAACACTAATACCAACAGCACAATTTAAAAGTTCCAGGACTTCATTTAATTTGTATTCAAATGGAGAAATCTGTACTCTTTGGTCCTTCAACAGTGGAAATTTTTTGGGGGTGGGAGTGTTAATATACTGTAGGCAGTACTATGAAACCAAACTGAAGTTTCTTCTACTTGTAGGTATCCAGGCTTACTGTCCGTAACATTTTGTCCAAATGAGCCGTGCTTTACATGCAGTAGTCATAATCGGTAATTTACATTGTTAATCATGGGATAAGCAATGTGTCACGATCGTTTCGACGATTTATTGTTTAAACTGAAAGCATTTTGTAACCATTATCCAATTTGTTTCTGTTTGTGGACGCTAAAATGACTAAGTTTATCCCCTTTGGCTTTATAGTTCTCTTTGAATTTTAAACCATAGCAAATAAACCCACTCAGACACTGACACCCTGGTGAGAAATCTGATCACACAGGAAAGTATATAATACAGCCGATTAAAATGGGAAGGAATGCTTATTCACTTCCCTAGATTTTACAGGGACGGAACATGTGACCTGTCTTTTTTTCCATTCATGTAACAGTAACACTTAAGTGTGTCGGGCAATGTTTAGGCAAGTTCAGTCGACCCTCCTTTGGAGGGGAAGCCTCATTACCTGTTTCAGTTGATATCAGGATTTTGCTTTTCTCACAAATCACTTCAGGGTCAAAACATTAACTGAGTGGTCTTTCTATTTAAAGCTGAATCTCTGCAGAGTGCAGCGTGTCAGAAATCTTACTTCATTCCTCAAGAAAAAAATCTAACTTATACTGCTTCAACTCTGTCGACTTGTCACCCTGTGAGTGCTGAACCAGCTACAGTGCTGCCAGTCAGAAGTAATTAAGTATGCGTCGCACTGTGCTCATTGGCTATCCCCTCCCCTTCCCAACTTCCCCTCCCCCAAACTCTCTCCCTCTAACCCCCCCACTCACAGGTGTTCATAGCAATGACAAACCTCAGAGATTTGGACGGAAGGTTCAGAGTTCACCCCTGGATATCCTGGGTCCTTTCTTTTTGGGTTTCTTTTCTTTTTTCTTTTTCGGTGGTGTCGGTTCTGCTACCTGCACAATCATCCAAGAAGAAAAAGACGATGTTCATTTGTGTCAAAATCTACAGAAGTTGGATTTTTTCGGTTGCTGATGACTCAGTGCCGTCATTTTTCACAGAGCGGCGTACCACATATGCTAATGCTTAAAAGTTTTTTCGTAACAAAGAAGTTGGCCACTTTTTGAAACACACTTGCAACATGAGGTGAAGAGGACAGTGGTATCATATTTATACCACGATTCATACAACTACTGTGGTCCACACAATTTGAAAAAATACACAAGTCACCTGGATTCAATAATCATTATTTCTCGTAATACTGACCTCTTCTCTTTTGAACGGATTGACATAATCAGGATCCCTCTTAATCAGTCTGAGTTCCTGTGACATCTGCAAACAAGAAACGCACACCAGCATGAGAGGCGGGACCAGTTTCTGTCTGAAATGAGGAAAAGCTTCTTCCCTTCCAGCGCATCTACAGGTGAATGTACGTAGGATGTATCGATAGACAAAATGAATGTGAACTGAAAGCTTGGAATTCAAACCGCCAGCTTTGACTGATACATGAAACCTCTCCACTCTTGTTGGACTGTGTCATCAGTGATGCAACCAAGTTGGAGAGGGGCCGGGCGTGAGTGTCTGACAGCAAACTATCTGAACTCTTGATGTTGCCCGCTCTATCACCTGCTCGCCAGGTGATAGCCAAAATACTTTTCACACAGAAGTGTGCTGTCCAGAGCATGCCAGAGGATGTGTCTCTTGGTTTCAAGCAAGGTTTCCCCTGCCCATTCAACTGTGAGGCAGTCCAACTCACTGATTTTAGTGACTACCTCGGGCTTTTCTGTTGAATTTCACGACCTCAACACTTGAAACTGACGGAGATGGAAGGAAAATCATAGCTTGGACATTTGAAATAGATTAGTTTCAAATCATTTAGAATTGTAAAAAGAGACACAGAATACAATATTGATTTATGTTAGAGGGGAAATTTAATAAAAATATACTGCGATACTATATAGAATTTATGTTAGGTTCTTTTGAAAATGCTTCTCTTTGAGGCACTAGAATTTGGGCAAAATTTGTTGGACCACCTCAAACATAGCAATACTCAAGGGGAAACCCTGTTGCTCGTACATCATGAAAATGGACAGTCCCATCGTACTGCAGAGGAGTGAAGCATACTAGAGTGGAGCTTATGAGGGTCGAGTATTGACTGGTGGTATAATGTGAGTTAGCTTAATGGTATTTCCAAGCAAAGGTACAGGGTGAAGTTGCTTGAGTATGGCCGGCAAGAACACTTGCATCTATGAGAAACGGCTTTCCAGTTCGTAGGTGTGACATCACTTCAGTTTAAACAACGCCCACTGCACAGGCACTGCACATAGAGTTACATGCATTGATGGCCGTTTACATGGAACAATGGAACTGGAAGTTAACACGCAACTTCAGCGATCGTCCAATGGGAGCCTGCAAATCGTGGCGCATCTGCCTTTGTGACAAAGTCACTTCTGAACTGGATAGCCACTTAGTAGCAACTGGCAGCTTACATACGTAGGCATGTGTGTTATTGCCAGCCACAGTTGAGGTGATACCGAAGGCAGCTTTGGGAATCAGAAGTCATGTTGAATAGGTGGGGCCTTGAAACCAGCCACGTCATGGCACCTGTGTTCCTGAGTAATGCCCTTTCGTCCAATTGCATGTGTCCATTCAGGAGTAGATCGCTGAATGAGTTGAACAATGCAGCAAGCTGATGGCTCAGGTGGAATGCTTGCAGTAGCACCATGCAAGGATACGATCTCTTTTGGGAGTCTGTATGGTTCTTAAAAGAACCGTGAGAACCATACGGACTCACAAAAGAGATCGTATCCTTGCATGGTGCTACCGCAAGCTTTCTATCTTAGTTGTCTGTCACCATGAATAGCTTGAAATCCCAAGCTGATGGCTGTTTACAAATACTCTGAATGTTTTACTGTCCATCACTGACCAAAAGTGATGGCGAGCTTTGCATCAAAACAGCTACTGAAAGGGAAACATCAGTGTCTGCTTTGATACCCCAAGAAACGCAAAATAAGCATCACTGGATATCAACAGCTGTGTTGGTTTAACAGTTCAAGCAAACAATGGACATCAAATTACCAAGTTCATTAACTTCTTGTGAGTGTCATCATAGAACCCCGTCTGTTCAGCGTATGTTACTGCCCAGCGGACAACCTCCCGTAACTCTTTCTTCTTGCTGTACAAGCTGTGGGTTATGTCGGGCAGTCTCAGCACGATGTCACCGAGAAAGGCAAGATTTTCTAGAAGCAGCGAAAGACCTGCCAGACGGGAATGAAAACAGTCACTCTGGGATTGCAACCGTCACATGCCCATGTCACAGTTATAATGTCACATCATGTTGTGCACATCAAACTATTCTGTTTAATGAAATGAAAAAGATGGGTAATTTAAGCAGATGCAAAGTCGGCTGCTAAGCCTTATTCCTCCCTGAGAGGGATGCCAGTCCATTGCATCTCATGCTGCGGGAAAGCCAGTATCTATCTGTACACCCAGACGGAGAGAGGCAAGTAGGGTTCAAGGGGCTCACTAGAGGACACAGCTAATGGAACACAGCTACATTTGAAGCCCTTCCCCCCACTCAAGAATCCTGCCAACAATGCTACGCATGCAACTGAAAGAACTGCGTAGTACTTCTTACTGTCTTTTATTGCTTGATGGGTGGGAAATGGCATTCCTGGTTGAAAGCCAGAGCCTGTCAGCGTCTGCTTTGATTCGGTTAATATCTGATTGAAAGAGAAGAAAATGATTCAATAAAATAAAAACTGGGGGATAAAGGTCACCTATCATTCCTATGATGTAATGTCTGCTATCTCATGTCTGTACATCACAAGGGTTGTAGGGGCAACATCAAGGCATCTTGACTTCACTGAGTCTGAGATCAAGGCCCTGTTTTGCAGTTGCATCCATCCTTGGTTAATTCTTACAGAAACAACCGAGGGTGCAGCAAGGCGCCAGGTACCTGCACGTGTCCTTAAATACATGTTCTCTTATGCCCCTCCCTCGTCTTGTACCACTCCTATCCATTCCCCCACCTCTTGCATCTTGTCAAGAAGCAAATCTATCAGCTTAAACTGTTGCTCGTGGTTGTATTTGTCAAAGATGTCTTGGATGGCACTATGCTGCTGGCTTCTCTTCTGAAGAAAAATCCTCTGGACTGATTTGAGAACTGTTTAAGGAAAACGTCTGTACAAGTATTCTTTATGATATGACACTACAGTTGACAGAATTCAGTTTAAAACGTTCAAATGCCGACTTATTTTTTCTGGGCCACCATGCTTAATTACTCGTTCTAATTCAAATTTTACATGGAACACGGTGTATACTATATGTACATATGTACAGTTACAATGTATATGATTAACATTTATACCAGGATGCCATGACACTGACGCAATTGTTTAATTTAAAAAGAAAAAATACAAAACTAAAATCCCTTACTGGAAATCCTTCTTCCATCAAGTACCCCTACATGTAATGCCTGAAGCCATGTTTCAGGGGATTTCACAATAAGTTTGTCTATCATTTCTGACCGGCCCTTATATTTGGCTCCGACTAAGGGGAAAAAACTTATATCATGCCATCAACCCAGTCTGGAATTCCCCAGCAAGAAAAAACAAAATTTCAAGAATTTTTGGGTTCAAACATTTCTTAACCCTGCTTTCCCCAACCAACTGACCCTCCCTGAAGGTCAAAAAATGGCATAAAATTAACTATGGACACCACTATCACAAGATTGTACACAAGATTATGCAGTCAAAGGCCCACTTGTTGATTTTTGAGGCTTTATCTTTGACTAGATATCCACACAATGGAAAAGACAACGTTTGAGTGGCCACACAAAGACATGCAATCTCAATGCTTTCAGTCAATCCGTAAATACAAAGGAAACCCAACTCTGCATGCTTTGCCATAGATCACTCCCTCAGATCTTTTATTCAGGGGGGAAAAGGTGTATTTTTCCCATTAGTTATCCAGAAGAATCCCTAAGAAAGCTAGAAATGCTTGAAACATCATTAAACTTTTTTCACTTGCTGGAATTTTTTGAAGAAAAACACTGAGAAAATTTTCAAAGGACTGTATGAATTGCAATCTCGCAACATATTTTGAAAAAAGGGGACATCATTTCACAATTTATGGTATTTATCAATTGGCAATTTTACGCCTGGAAATTCAGCACCCATCCATAAATGCTGCAAATACACAGGCCCCTACAACAGTAATAATGGACCCCCCCCAAAAAATACCCCAGCACCTAAGTTATATCCATTTGTGTCCCCCGTTGGTTAGCTTTTGATGACAAGAAGCCTTGTTCTAGCTAGTGAACACCTTGTCTTTTGCCTCTTATTCGCCTGACTCCTTCTCCAGATCGATCATGGAGGTAGAAATAGATGCCCAGATACACCAGACAATAGAGCAAGGGCTTTGCTCTGAGGCCAGATGCTAGAGAATCGCTTCCTCTGGAGTTCGCTAGCTTTGTAAGACACTTGTAACTTGCATAAAGGATACACATTTCCAACTCTTTGCCGCTGTCCTTTTTCCCAGCACCAGCGCCATCTTTCTCCTCTCTGTCCGCCGTGCCCGTATCGCTCTGCCCCGCCTCCGTTTTACGGCTATTGTCCGCACCAGTTCCTGATGAATGTTTTGCAGTATTCTCCTTGCCCCAAACTACAACTTGCGTTGAAAGCAGAACAACAGCAATAAAGGGAACTACAATGCAAGAGATATCCATAGCCTCAGGTCTAAAAATTGAACATATAATTAAAACTTTTCCGAGGTCAACTTTTCTGCACGTGTAATATTATGGTAATATTTTAATAAAAATGTGCAACGCGTATGATGAGGCTGTACATGTATACGCGTACAAACTCCAACAATTGACCCAACAGCTGTTTGCGGGTGCTAGGTCATAGGCTTCATTCCAGCCGCTCGTGTAATCTCCAGCAACGATCCCCGAGTTAATATATCAACAAAAAGCAGTATTTATAGTTGCATTTTCGTTTTGAAGGAGCCGCTAACATTAAATTGTTTTCAATGATAAATTATGTGCTGAATGATAGACGATCGCTGTCCCGGAAGAAACAGGCTGATATTGGGAATTAAACCTGAATAAAACTGGACGAGCTAAGCGCATGGAGTTGTTATGTATTGCATGTCGATCGGCCATGGGACAAGTGCAAGATTTAACTAAACATGTCACGCCCCAAATTTTTACTGTTTGTCACAGTTGTCAGATTTCAGCTTCCCAGTTACCTGAATACAGCAGAAAAAGAAAAATTATACAATTATCTCCACTTTTCTTAGGTGAAATTCCTTTATATATTATATTTATGTGCGTGCTCTAAGCGCGTGTAAGATCTGGATCTTTCTTATTCACACGGTGCGCAAAATCATTAGCTTTGTACACCCATGGAGAAAGGAGGGTACACCACACAAGTTTTCTCGTCTTTCAGTATTCAAGCATGGAGGAATATTTTTTTATAACTTGTGCGGGAATATAAAACATAATGAATGAAATAAATACCAACAAAAACTTTTATTTCTCCCTCCTTTGGCAGCAAACCCATGCACACTGGTGCTGCGGACATCTCAGGAACACACCCCGGATCGGACTGAAAACCTGGATAAATCACTGCAGTTGAACCTGCTTAACCTTTTGTTTTTCCATCCAAGATTTCTACTGAAATTTCTGTTCGTGACTACCGCACCTTAAAAAAGTTTGCCAGTGCAATTCCTTCCCAGAGTTTTTGCCAGACCCTTATGATGTCAGTTTTGTGTGGTAGTTTTCAACTTGAAGGCCGAATACAAGTCCCCAGTGCGCCAAAATATATCAAAAGTCCACCGTGAGCACTCGTCATTTTATAATTATAAGATATTTGTCCCAATATACCCACATCAACACATCGTCGAATCGGGGGGGGGGGGCAGGGGGTCTAGACGTTTCGTGAAAAACAAATGCTCTGTTGGATGTCCAGCCTCCGTCAGCATAGTGCAACAGAAGTGGGAAGTTTGCCACTTTGGCAACATTGGCCAAATGCATATTGGCCTATAGTTTTAGCACCCCAAGACTTAGAAATTAACAAAAATACGCTTTCTTCCGGAACACTGACTTCCCATCCACAACCTGAAAACTTGATATTACTTCTTCTTGACAGCGCGCTACTGGTGCCTTGTCAGCACCTTGTCAGACTAACATCAACCAGCCTGAGCACAGCCTAGCCGTCCCCTGAACATAATGTGTGACTATTTTAAGGGAATATTTTGACATGCCACAACAAAATAATAATTTACCGAGCAGGGATTGGAAACCAGTCTAGCTGATTGACAACACCGCCCTCTTTCGACGATAATTGTTAAATACAAGTACGTATGTATAAAGTGCATGTACATGTACAGTACATCATGGAGGTACATGTACATGTATACATGTACATGTACATGTATGTACCGCCGCCGTACACATGCCCTGCTGTGTGGTAAAACTTCCGCACACACGCTACATGGCGGCGTTGCTTACCATGTGATTCGAGGATAGGAAGAGGAGCTAGAGAGACACCAGGGAAATAAAAAAAATCCTGAGGTAGTTTAGCAGTTTTGTATGACCTGTACAGTATGATTCGTATTTCTAGTCGTAGTTGTACGTTTAGTTGTTTAGTCATGTTAGTTACACTAGGCCTCCAGTCCAACATTGTCTAACGTTAGTCCGTCCATGATCAGTCTAACTTTAGACTCAGTTCCTACAGATGAGTTGATCTAGGCGCTAAGGCCTTGCCTTTTGTTCAGCATTTTACAGCAGTGGAGAACTGTTGGATGTAACAGAGCCCTACATGTACATTAGAGTATTCTGCTTCATTGATACCGGGCTCTGTCTGGATACGTAGGGACAGCTTTCAGTTGGGTTGTAACATTTTTAAGTTTCATCCGTTGACATCCACAATATTTTACGATTTTATGAGCTGAAATTGTACTGCTGGTAATGATGATATGTTCACTGGGATTGTGTTCTTGGGGAACCCTCCATTTTAATTTCATTTTTTTCTTGCAAATCTGGTCAGCCCCCCCCCCAAAGGTGGTGCTATCTTTATTTGATCCTATTTTGAAATTTTGGAAATGTTGAATTGTAAATTGAAAAAAAATGTTACTTTCTTACTGAAATTTCCAGCCATGCAAATTGGACTCCATGTCATGTGTTAAACACAGTTTCCTCTCATAATTTAATTCCAAACTGCCATCTTTCCACATCAATCCTACAGTTATTGAGCATGATCTCATAGTCATCTGCTAAGATGGATTCAAACATAAAATGTAGGTCTCCTTTCCATAAAAGGAACGGGGTTCCCACATACACAACCCCAATTTTCACAACTTACATGGCAAACTATCCCCAGGTTACTATATGTATTTGTAGGAAAATCGTCTTGCCGTTTTGAAGATAAAATGATGCCTCCATAAGCTTGTAAGACCTCCTCAGATGAATTTTGGTCTGACTCACACGTTACACCAACTCCTTTGTGTGGTTAAGTAATGGTAGCTTTCACAGAGAGCCTGTCTGGTAGTTAACACTCAGCCTTGGACCAACAGGCACATTTACTCTTGCGGAGATATACGAAATTTCTTTGGTGGTTATTCCCCCAAAGGTGATATCCCTTGAATGATGTGAAGAAGAGCTTCAGTGAAGGTTAAACTTGGCCGAGTGATATGAAACAATGTAGGGGGGAACTGAAATTAAAATCAGATTTGCATGACTGTCTGATTTTGCAGGGCGTGTCATGTGACAGAAATCCACTATGTCAGCTTCTGAGGATACGGACAAGCCATTTGTGTGTGGCATTTGCGGGAAAGCGTTCCCTTTGCTGACCACACTCCAGCGTCATCACAGGTACCATACGGGAGAGGCGCCATTCATGTGCGAGATTTGCGACAAGACTTTCATCCAAGCGAGGAGCTTGACAACGCACCAGAGGACCCACACTGGACAGAAGCCCTTTGTTTGTGGTGTTTGCGGCAACTCGTATACCCAGGAAAGCAGTCTGAGACGCCACAAAGTGATCCACACTGGCCAAAATCCAGCCTTCGTGTGCAGCACCTGCGGCAAAAGCTTCCCCAAGCGGTCCAAACTCAAGCACCACCTGAGAGTCCACACTGGTGAAAGCCTGTTCTCCTGTGACATCTGCGGCAAAGAATTCACTCAGGAAAGTAGCCTGAAACGCCACAGTGCGGCCCATGCCGAAACAACAAGGGAGACCCCAGGAAAAGAAGAAGAGACAAGACTGCCCCGTTGCAGCACTTGTGGCCGGGTTTTTCCAAGCCAAGCCGTACTCAAACATCACCCCTGTTCCAACGGTGGGAAATCGTTTGCGTGTGAGATTTGTGGGAAAGCCTTCACACGAGCGAGCAGCTTGAGGAAACACGGCAGGAAGCACACCAGGGAGAAACCGTACGTGTGCACCACTTGTGGCAGGGCCTTTGCTGCAAAGTCGAAATTGAAACGTCACCAGAATGTACACAGTGTAGAGAAGCCATCTTGTGGGGAAGTCATCTCACCAGAGACTAGTCCAAAGCATCGCGGGGCAGTGTGCAATGGAGATGAGCCATTGGTAGCCAGCGTCCGTCAGGAAAGTGACGTGCAAACCAACCATCTTACAACCCAGAGCGGAGTGCCCTTTGCAGACAAACCCTTGGAGGAGGGCACTTGCGAGAAGGACTCCTGCAATACCGACACTCAGGAATTCCACCGCAGCAGCCCAACAAGAACTAAGCCCCCTGTTCAAGAATTATGCTGCGAGGCATTTTCACACAAATGGAACCTAGAACGCCATCAGAGGATCCACTTTGGGGAGCAACCTTACTCGTGCGATATTTGCGGCAAATCCTTCCCGTACCAATGGAATCTGGAATGCCACAAGAGATCCCACGCCCAGGTGAAACTGTTCGTCTGTGACATTTGTGGTGAGGCATTTGTGTTGGAAGCGCAACTCAAAACTCATCAGGGGTCACACGTTGAAGAGACACCCTCGCTGTGTGACCAGATCTGAAATAACCTCAGGGAACATCGTAGAACTAGGATGTGTCACAGCACTCAAAACTCTTTCAGTGGGGACAGCATGTTGTTTTATAGTCAGGGGGGTACATTGCACTTTAATCTGGCACCTGCCTTTGAATAGTGTTTCCATAATGAAGGTACATGTACATTGTATTTACCCTTTAGTTGCAACTTGCCACTTTGAAACCATGTACATGTATAAATACTGAAATGCAGTGCTTAAGCTACGTTTCCCACTTTTGAGATGTAATTTATTGCTTCTGAAATGCTTATTTTTTATGTGTCGTCTCGCAAAAAATACTCAAAAAGTTCATACCTGAACATAAATGTTACAGTTGTTACCAAGAATGGATTTCTCTTCATCGCAGTGGCAAAATTATCTTCCTCACTTTTTTTTTCACCATTTACATACATGTATAGTTGCGCTCAACCCACAGCAACCAAGTTGCCAGATGTACCAAACACTCGGGCTCCCAAATGGTTTAATTCTCCCTGTTTCCTGACCCTATTTTTGCAGCCTGAACTTCAGTTTTTTATTGGAGGAGATGTAATGTGTGAAATTGGAAAGAAAGAAAGAAATGTGTCTATTATGTTTGAATGTGTTGAAAGAAGGTTCAACAGACTTGTGTATACATGAATGTTGTTAAATGGTTTTCATCCCATCAGAAACAAATACCCACCGACCTTTCTCACTCTCAGTATTTTTAAACCAGTTAACAATTAGCTGCACGCTGAATAAATTTCTGAAAAGCGCAAATAAATTTGTTTCTACTTACCTCTCCTCTTTCAAATGTCATGTAACAGGAAGCATAGCTTCATAGACAACCCACCAGCCAGTTCCTTTTGAAGACAAGGTTTTTTTAAAATGGATGTGTATGTACTTTCATAACAAACTCTAGAATACCCACCTTTCGTTTTTGTTTTGAACATACAGTGTGCTAATGCATGTAGTTGTCAATGAATTTTGGAGGCTTAAAGTCAACAACCTCCAAATTGATTCGAGGCCATCAATTGTCACATTTTCTTTCAAACAGCTGCATTATTTTGACATTGTTTGACCATTTTTAGGGAATCTTCACTCACCTGTTAATCATGTCACCATTTGCCTTTTTCCTTTTTTATCTCTCTGTCCATTTCTTAAATTTCTCAATGTTGCACTGTATGGCCACTTTTACTCTGTTATGTGCACTCAAGACCAAGGAGTCCATTTTTTTTTGATTGACCCATTTGTACTGATAAACCTTGCCCTCATGACTGGAGATTTTGTTTGATGCTGCATTAGTGTGTGTGTACTGTGTGAGGTAACATGAAGAAAGGACAATTTGTGTACTCACTGCATGTTTATTGTAGCATTATGCTGCATTTTTGTTTAACAGGACTGTTAAAAGTGAGCTTAACTTTTGTTACAGCCAGCCATATTTTAGTGCAGGACAATTTAGTAGTGGCGACCAAAGTCTCACGGGTTATGGTCGGGGGTCCTGGGGCCCGCTTAAGGGGACTCTAGATCGCTTTTTCACAAACATTTTTTCTTTCCAAATTGATTAAGAGTTCAAATTCTTTTAATAATTCCAGGTAAAAATACAAAATTTTTGTAGGGACTAATGTTATTTCTTGGATATTCAAGGATTTGTATGCCGGTCAGTGGGCTGTTTCATCAAGCTTAGTGCCAGACGGTAGAACGCTGTGGTGGAGATCCCCGACTGGCATGGACCGGCGTAGCTATAACACCGAGTGTGTATTACTTATGCATATACCATGTTCTGAAATGTTGAGCTACCCACATTGCTAATATCAATGCACGTGGGACGATTTATAAGGATGTTGTCTCTTGACAACCCGTATTAGCTGGTTTTTGTAATAACTTTTGATTTGTGTCTTCATTGAAAATGCTGATACAAAATAATCAGTGCGTTGTTTGATATATTTTCTTGAGTTTGTCGATACATGCTTTGGGTGAATATTGTCAGTAGCATGTGAATTGTGTGAACTGAGTGCACATTAAGAGGAATTTAAGAAGATCATTTTATAACGTGATGAATGCCATAATACTTCCTGCAAACAGAATCACAAAACCGGTGTTTTCTATCTGCTTCATCACTTATGCAATGTATAATGTAAGTGAAGTATTGTTCACTATGTATGATCACAGTTCATTCAAAGCTTTAAAAATTGAGGCATCCACACATTTTGACATAATTATTCACATGAGACAAAGTGGATTGGGATGTTAATCACACTGTTGTTAATTTTTACTCGGTGCGAATTTAAGACAGCTGATTGTGAGGGCATTTGCTTTCAAATTTGGAAAAGAATCCCGAACAAAATGAAAAGTAGTTGTCTTTCATTTCAAAATGGCCAAATGAAATGTAAAGTTATTTAGAGATTAGCGTTTGAATGGGAAAAACCATTGAGAAATTAATTTTGCTTTTGATCATGTTCATGTGAACATTTATATGTAAAATATGTAGAAGAATGGAAATTGTACATCAACTTTGTGCTTAATACTTTTGTCTCTCATATATTCAGATATTGTATTTTTTAACCAGAGTTGGAACAAGTTACAAAAAAAGTGTCACAAATGTAACTTGTTTAAGTTATGATGTTAGTTGGGAGTTGTTTTTCACATGCTTTGGAAAGTAACAGTGGTATTACCTTTATAAACGAAAACATCGTATCAGAAACACTACCAGGCTTTTCAAATCGCACTGTCAAATCGGTGCATCTTGTTACTGTGTGCATCAGTGTGAAGCCCACTGAACGAACCTGGGCTCCTTGGACTGCATACCAATGCAAATAATCTAAGCTGATTTCTTTCTTTCCGCTAAAGTTGAAGATGCATCTCTTTCAAGAGTTGTGTTGTATAGTATGTACTGTAGCAGAGAGAGTGACTTTTGTAAAATTTATGATGGTTTACCGTTGTATCTGCACGTCTCTTTCTTCAAAACAAATACATAGAAAAATAAATTTTCAACGGTGCTTTCTGCGTTGTAGTTTCTTTAATTGGGATTATCAGTTGAAATTCTAAAACTAGGTCTTCTTTTCCAGTGAAAGAATGGTCTGCTCTGTTCATTTATGTTCCAGAATGCTTTTGAAATCGAAAGAGAAGAACTACCATGCTGATTTTTATCTCCACGTTTTGTTCAGTGTGACATCTTCATGGTCCGTTCATCTGTTGATCTTTGTTGAAAAAAGTGCATTGCCTTCCCCCTTTTTTTACAAAAATGCCATACTTTTGTTTGAAATCACTTTTCTCAGCAAAGAAGAAAAATCCCTCAAAGTTCTGCCTTTTTCCTCAAAAAGCAGGAAAAATAAAATTCTCTCCATTTGTGACAAATGTATAGAATGAACCTCTCCATTCCGTTCCATTTTTAATATCATTTGTACCTCTGCCACACCCCCCCCCATTTTCTTCCTTTTAATAGGGTAGAAGTCAAAAACCAAAAATCAGATAAGGAAGAAACAAAACCACACCACCCCCAATGTCTGAGAATTCCTGAAGATCCCAGAGCACCAGGGAAGTGTTTACTTTTATTACTTACTTTTTTCTCTTTGGCACCTATTGAGGGCGCTACTAAAAAACGAAAACGGACAATTAGCGATTTGCTGGGCAAGCACTGGTACATGGTACACGACAGTTACCATGCTGTTATTGACGTGAGTATTTGGCAACACGTTTTCAAAAGGGGAACATTTTAACTGTGGGGGATTTTGCTGCGCATTGCTGCATTCATCTGTTCATGCCTCGTCTCTGGCTGGATTCTTTTGATTTTTTGCCCGTCTTCCCTGACCAGTGACTAGCGCAGCAGTGGGCTTACTACAGTTCATGGCAGCGCAGTAGCATCACCGGCGTCATGAAGCTTTAAAGTTAGAATTAACACTAACTGTACACTCCGGCCCATATCATGTGGATTTGAATTGTCCATTCTCTGTTTCAGTCAGCGAGCACCTATTTGTTCTGAAGGAAGGCTGTTTTCCACCCGTCTTAAGATGACTGAGGCCATTTCTTCCAAGTGAATGTGACGAACGATCACAGTACCATAGGTCTAGTGTTTTTAGCCTGGATGACCTTCCATATTACATACACCGTTAAATTAATCCTGTTGTTGGTGTCATCAGCAGCAATTTTCAATGAGAGGATCATTTAGTTATGGCATTTGTGAAAAAGCCTTCTCTGATGGATCGAACTTGGGGAATAATTAGTGGGCCGACATGTGAGAGAAACCATTCCGTTGCAACATTTGTGACAAGGCCTGCTCGCTGAGTGCTCTGTAGCTGAGCAGTCCATCGGAGAGTCCACTCAGGAGAGAAACCTTTTGACTGCGACATTTGTGACCAAGCACTTACCAGTGAGTGGGTATGGCCTGAAAGCTCACAACAAGGCACACGCCAGGGAGAGAACAGATTCCTAAAATCCCATCAAGCAACTCACTCAATGAGAAACCATTCTTTCATGGTGTTCCTGGTGAAGCATTTCTTTTGGATGCAGAATTAACAATTGAATGGAGGTCCATTATGAAGCACGATAATTCACTTGTTTATTTGAATTGTTTTGAGTTTGAGTTTAGGATTTAGCACTACTGTACATGTATAAGGACAAACACAGGTACATGTTACTGATTAATTGCCATGTCTTCCTCAGAGGTCTGCAAGGAAAAGCAGTTGGCATGTGATGTGTGTGGAAAGGTCTACACGTACAGATACAGTTTGAGGCAACACCAGCAAGTCCACAAGGACGAGAAGCGGTTGACCTGCAGCATGTGTGACAAAGCATTCGTGCTGGAAAGCACTCTGAAATGTCACCAGCGGGCCCATCTGGCTGAGGACAGAGTGAAACGGTTTATGTGCAACGTCTGCGGCAAGGTGTTCACCCGCCCAGCCAATCTGGAGGAGCACCACCGCAGCCACACGGGGGAAAGACCCTTTGAGTGTGACGTCTGCGACAGGGCCTTCAGCCACCGCAGCCATCTGACGATCCACCGGAGGCGTCACACGGGGGAGAGGCCATTTGTGTGTGACGCCTGCGGCAAGGCCTACCTGCGTGGCAACGAGCTGAGCAGCCATCAGACGCTGAAGCACGGTGCGCAGGCCAAGAAGCCATTTGGCTGTGACAAGTGCGGCAAAGGCTTCTTGCTGAAGACAGGGCTGGCCGTTCACCAGCGAGTCCACACTGGAGAGAAGCCGTTTTGGTGCGGTATTTGCAAACGAGCGTTTGCCACTGGCTATGCACTGAAATGTCATCAACTGACCCACACAAAAGAAAAGCCATTCCTCTGTGAAGTTTGTGGCAGAGCCTTCTCTCTGGCTGCTAGTCTTAAAAAGCATCAAGAAGTACACATGTAGGAAAAGAGATTTATTTCAAGTCATTTATTTATTTGTTGCCAAGGGGCTATGTGCAATTTTTTTTGTTTTAAAAAAAACTTTTTGGCAGAGCACAGGTTTATATACTTAAGCATTGCCAAAGATAAGACATTAATGGGAGAAGAAGGACCTACGTGTGAATCCTTTGAGATAACATTTTTCAAGAAGGAAAGAATTGGGATGATGAAACTCTACAGCAAATTTTATCATGAATTCCTGGAATTATTAATAGAATTACCAAGGCTAAGGTTTCAATGTGCCCAAAGTTCCCCACTAAATCAAATGCTTGTTCTACAGGTGTCTTGTTTGTACACACTTTAATTTGGCCACAGTTTAAAGTGTGTTTTTTTTGGTACGGCATATTAGGCCCGTCTTCACCAAACAGCCAATCAACCTCAGCCAGGCATCTGCAGAGGAGTCTAGGCATGTGAACTTTAGCGTACACCAGGAAGGCCAGCTGTTCAAAAGCAGAGTGCTTTCACAATTATTCAGGGGCCACTCCTGATCAACGATCTCATGCCAAGATGTAGAAGATATTGCTTTGTGCTGCAAACATGACAGATGATTAAAAAATGTAATGTAATTTTCAACTCATTGAACTTGCAATATACCTGTTGTAGTGCTAGAGTGTGTTCTTACGTAAAGATATTTTGCCAATTGTAACTTGTAATACACGTATAGTTTTCTTTTACGAAACTGCCTTGTATTCCTCGTCAAGCATTGAGCAACTCATTATTGTTAGTATGTACACATGTGCATGAGCAAGGTTTTTTTTTGGGGGGGCGCACATTAGCAGCAAACTGATAAACCATTAGGGTGGAAAGGGGGGTCAATTCTTAGAGGTTTTCAAGCAAATTGATGATTTACAGTTTACGTTTTTAATATGGGGGGAGGCAAGCAACTGCCCCCTCCCCCTTTCCCCCACCCCCCCAATACACATGCATGTTGATTTGTTTGCATGATGATGCACATGATAAATAGAGTGTGGGTGGTCAATCTTGGTCTTTGAAATACAGTTATCTCCTTTTGACCTGTCATTTGTTGATTCAGATTTTTTGCATCGGTTACCAATTAAAGGACATTGCCATATTTTGTATGAAAATAAAACTTGAAGGACCTAGAAAGTTTATTTTCTGCAGTTACGTGTACTGAAATTCACTTGGCTCGTGCTGTAATTTAAAAGATAACCTTAATTTGGTAGAATCTGAAAGATAAATTTTCACATACTGGACCTACAAAGATACACACAGGAAAGAATTACTCGTTTCGGATTATCCCCCTTAATTACACTACAATGTGAGCGACCATCAAACATGTCGAAGGTGGATCCCCAACCCATTTTGAAGGGAGGTCATATTTAGGGGGAGGAACTGAGACTCCCTCTATATACTTTTCTTCAGGTTAATGGCAGAATTTTGGAGACTTTTATCGATGTCATTTGGACGGTCAATCATACACCTGAATATTAAAAAAAAAAGGTTCAATTTTTTATGGGCGACCCCGGTTTCATTGCCTCCTCGGCCCTTCAGAGTAGGTCCTTTGAATCTGATACGTGTGGTGAATGTGGTTGTTTGCCACTCTTATATCTTATCCCTTTTGTTCCTTCTCGTCTGAATATTTCATACACCCTTCCTTTTCCAAAATCCTTTATTATTTGTTTTTATTTTTTCCATTGTACATGTGATGCAATTTCGACTCTGCAGCCACTACCCTCCCGGTCGATCCCCGCCGCACCCGCCCACGTGATGGCATAAGACAGCGCCCTCTGTCGATAGAATACATCACCCACACCAAAGTCATGTCCGCGCTACTGAGATTTCTCGCAAGCAAACCTTTTTTGTACCGCAAAAAAATGACGAGGTTCCAAACGATTTTGGCGCTCATGTGATTTGTGAGTACAGGTATCCTTTCAAAATCTCATATGTTGTGTTCCAAAGAACTGAAACATGTTCACAAGTAGAACTTAATAAAATGATAAATCTAGTACTAGGCCTAGTCAGTACAAGACAATAGTACCCTAGGCCACGGACATATATAAAAAACCTGGACTTGCAACGCCTTTTTTTTTGTATGAAAAAGAAGCCAACCAGCGGTCATTTTACCGAGCCAAATACAAAACCGTGGGTTGGCTCCCTCCTATTGACGTCAGGAAGAACAAAGGCGGGCATTGCGAGGAAAGCTTTGTATTCGGCTCAGTGAAATGACCGCAAGTGGATTCAAGTATAATAAGCTGATTAACATGATTACGGGCATTGCGAGTCCAGATTTTATTATACATGTCCGTGCCCTAGCCCCACTAGTCAGCTAGTGTGGCATGGACTCTCGCTACCACTCGCTGTCAGATCAACTCGACCGTTTGCCAACTCGACTCGAGTCAACTCGACTCTCAACCATGGATAACTCGACCGTTGTTCCTTCAACCGTAAAGGTCAACTCGACTCTCGACCAACTCGACCGTGCAGACGGTACAACAGGGACAGGGCACAGAAAGAAGCATTTTTCCTACTTCTGGATCACATGTTTAATTTGTTTTACTGCGCGTGATGTGATCTGTGCATGCGCAGAGTGTGGTGACAGATTTCTGGGGTTCGTGCGTGCGTGCTTCTTCAAAAATTGGGAAAATTATTTTGGAGTATCTCATTGGCACAAGTTCAATTATTGATTGGTTCATTGAGCCGAAATTAGCATCCATAATTTTCACTATCAGGAACCGATCCGATCTTTAATTTTCCTCTTTTAATATCTATTTTCCGAGGAAAGGGTTTGTCTAATAAGCTCATGTATCAATCATGTCGAGTTGGCAAACGGTCGAGTTGGTAAATGGTCGAGTTGACTCGACTTTGAAGTCGAGTTGGTCAACAAACGAGTTGGTTCAACGGGCGAGTTGGTCGACGGTCGAGTTTGTCAGGAGTTGAGTTGACCCGAGTCGAGTTGGCAAACGGTCGAGTTGACCTACAACCCTTCCGCTCCATCCTTAGGCTTAGCCACACATCCGTATATGCAATTTGCATGTCAGCATAGTGAAAAAGTTCACCGTACCCTCTTATAATCGTAGGTGCAATTTTTTTGCACACAGAGATGATCCTTAGCCTCTCCGCTTTCTTAGCGCCATTTATTGAATGATTTCACTCATGTTCTGGTATTTTCCAGTCTTTTTGCCTTCTCTCATGCAATCTCACGGGCTCGCTCTCACAGTCGCCATCTTTAAAATCAGGTCATCGACAAGGATATAAAATCAAATCAGTGTTCTGAAATATGTGATTGCCGAGCTTTCAGTAACTGAGTACCTTCTTCAGGGCAAGCAGATTCAGTTACATGTAGGTCACTGAACATTATGTCACTTGACCCCTCATCGTCTCCACGGCTGTTCCCGTGTCAAGACATATCTAAACTACTGCCGAAGTTTTGGAAGAGCCTATTGGTACATGTAGTATCTTATCGCTCAGTCCATGTATTAGATATGTCTTGACGTGGAACAGCCATCGAGACAATGAGGGTTTAAGTGTGACGTCATGTTCAACGACCTGTTTTTATAAAATTTAGATGGTTCAAGGCAAAAATCATCCAGTGGCTGATTTACTGTTGATCCCAATAACAGTTTTGATAATTGTTTTTTCTTTCTTCTGTTGTTTGATTACATATAGACACCATCTTGGAGTCCGAGAAGACATTAGCATTTGAACAAAACTCCAGACCCATCAAGAGGGCCATCTTTGAAACATTCAGTCATGGCATCAACGGCACAGACTGTCGACTCGACCTCCGTTTACATCTGTGGCATGATTTGTGGTAGAACCTTCCTGAACAGCAAAGAGTTTGAGGAGCATCAAGCAAGCCACACTGGCCAGCATACACTATTGGCGACTGTCTATCCTGACAGATTCAACCCGGATGGAACGATGCGGATGACCGGTCCACCCGCCGATGCACCCTACTGCCGCGTGTGTGGCAAAGTCTTTGCCGGGCAGAATCATCTGGAGCGTCACCTGCGAGTGCACACCGGCGAAAAGCCGTTTACCTGCGCCACTTGCGGCCGGGCCTTCACGCAAGAGGCCAGCATGAAGAGGCACCAGCAGATCCACACCGGGGAGGTGAGAGAGAAGAAGCACAGGTGCAACATATGCGACAAGGCCTTCCTGTACAACTCTCAGCTGAAAGAACACCAGAGAACCCACACTGGAGAGAAACCATACAAATGCGAATACTGTGGCAAAGCCTTCACTAAGCAGACCCTCGTAAATCACCATAGGAAGATCCACACAGGAGACAAGCCATTCGTCTGCGACATCTGCAACAAGGCTTTCACGCAACTGAGCCGCCTTAGAGTCCACAAGGTGACCCACACCACCGAAAGGCCATTTGTGTGCGACATCTGCAGCAAGACCTTCAACATTCAGTCCAACTTGTATGCCCACCGTAAGCTCCACTCACTGGAGAAGACGTTTACCTGCAACGTCTGCCAGCGGCAGTTTGCCACCAAGCGTGGCATGAGAGACCATCGCAACACCCACAACAAGCCATTCCTGTGTGAGGATTGCGGCAAGGCATTCGCTCTGAGCCAGGCACTCAGGAAACATCGCAAAAAACATGCCAAGGTCCAAGAAGAAGTTCAGGCATCAGACCAAAAAGAATCCTCAGAGGACGTTGATTAAAGATAACACAAACCTGCTTCAATGCACCCTCTCACATTTTCCCTTCCAGTTTTTAAAACCCAAGACTAGTAACTTGTTATGACCAGTAATATTCCTTCGTGATAGTCTTCTTTCAAAACTACAGTATGCAGCTGCTTGAAGTTGGTGAAGTTTTTACTTCCATCACTGATCCCATACAAAATATTTTGAGAGGAAACCAGTCACAGTCCATATTTGATCTCCATAGCTTTTGGGGCTTTTTGAAATTTTGCCAGTGATTAGTGAATTTACTTTTTTTGAAACTTAGAAATAGTACATTATGTATAAGCTTAATTATGTACATGTACATTTCCTTTCGTTGATCTATTTATTTGAATGGTTCTTAGTAAACAGGTTGATTTCACTAGATTATTTCAGGGCTTACAGTTGGATAGAGGACTCTGTCTTAACCTCTAATTCCTCCCACACGTACATAAAAACATACCCCAATGAATTATTATGAATGCACACAAAAAGTCATTCAGTGTGTTGCTTGGGAAAGAGGGAAATAAGCAAAACAAAGAACGTGAAATGAAAGTGTTTTTTGGTGCACCCAAGGAAACAGTTGTACAAGCAGCATTTAAACATTTCTGTGTTAAATTTTGCTATTTTGTACAACTGTCAGATTAAAGTGTTTTATCTGCAGGTATGCAATTTTTGTCTGTGCATCGAACTCTCTGATTGTGTTGATTTTTACTGTGAAAAATATTTCATATGATGGGAGAAAATGCAAATGTAACCGTTTCATAAAATAATCTACCTCTCCTAAAAGACAATTAAGTGGAAAAGATTACACAAAACAGCTTCCATGGTCTGAGGTTTAAAATTAAATAAAAACAGCCCCCCCCCCGTGAAATTAAACCTGTAACCGTTTTCATCCCGAAAATAAAAAAAAAACAATAAAATGTTAGGGCGCCACCTTAAGATTCACCAATCTCAGACGATAGAGGGCGCTAACATTCCCTCGGCTTCAATTCAATCATTGGAGATCTGTGCTTTGATTTGACATCGCCCGGTTATTGCCAAACAGGTGTCAGTTGTTGACATAATTATTATTCATAAAGAATATGTGTACATATTCAGAACTCAGTCTTGGGTTCCAAACACCCCCCCCCCAGCTGTCATTCTCGAAAACACGCCGTCCACTTCGCCCAATTGCCAATTCGTCCATTTGCCACTTAGCCACTTTGCTAATACGGCCGGGAGCAGTGCACCCGGTTCACATAGTACCCTCTTCCCCGTACGCGTGGCGTACGCTGGCAGTGGCTAGGCTCCAACCCTCTCCCTACTGTACGCATATACGGCACGCGGCGGTGCAGTCCACGTATCTTTTGACTTCCCAGAGTAGCTTGCTGCAGGCATCATCAAACGTCACGGTTTTATTCACACATCGTTTCCAAATTCTTAAATAAATGAACAGGTTTTTATATCGATATTTCTTTATTAACGGCCCTGGAATGTTGGATAAAAACAAAAAATCGCCTAGCCTTTTTTCTCTTAAGCACGTAGAGGGCACCTGTACGTTTCCGGAAGACGCTGCCGGTCTTTGTGTCGTGAGTTATATTGCGCACGGTTTACTAATAAGTGGTGTTGGCACGGGAGGATAGATGGTGGGGTGGACGGTGGAGGATACAGTGTTTGTTTTATGAGAAACTGTACTGGTATGATGAAGGCAATTTTTCGGTTTGCGTGCGGTATATATACACACTGGCCTGAACCGTTACCCCCTCTGTACGCGTGGCCCGTGTACGCAACAGCACCAACCCCTCCACCTTCGTGCGTATGTGTTTTATGGACGGCCCTTAAATTGTTTGATCAGAGGGTGCAAACTCATTAATATTTTATGATCCCACGAGTTTAATGTAATAAGTACCACAATCGAGACCGATCTTTGAGCAATTGCATGCATTATCATGATAAGTCGTGAATTTGGGACTTGTAGCTTCTGGCTCTGGGTATTTTTCAGCGGCTTATCCAGCTTTTGGTGTGGGGGGGGGATTCAGTAGCAAACGCGGTTTCAAACTCATGGGGATGGGAGAACAGAATATGAAAGCCTTACTCGCGGACCCGACGTCCCGACATCCTTGCTTTTATTTCATGGTGTCGTTTTCTTAGGGTTTGGTGCCGTTATTTGACGAATAAATATACCAATTAGTTTCTTACCCATGAAGTATTCGTTGTAGAAAATTCCCCTGGGGGAGGGGGTCCCCGAATACGCCACTGGTCTTCCATTTACATATTGTTTTGATTCCCCTCACTTAAAATAAAATCAGACAGGGTATTCCTGAACTGGTTCGATAGCAAAAGGAAACGCTCATTTACAGCTTGTGTGTTCAGGTTGCTTGCGTTTCGGCTTTGTCGACGAATCGTTTTAGAATACAGACGCATATGCAAATAGCCGTACAAAATTTCCAATTTTTTTTATGCACCCAGCGGACTAGTTTTTACATATCTCTATGGGGCGAAGTGGCACGTTGGCCAAGCGGCAAAGGGGCAAAGTCGCAAATGGGTATAGTGACAAATGGGTGAAGTAATAAATGGGCGCAGTGGAAAATAGGTGAAGTGCAGCTATTTTGAGCGAAGCTTGTATGGCGAGGACGGTGAATCGTCGAGGTCAACGTCTCTTAACACTCATTCACATTGTCAGGAACGGTAATGTCAGGAGAGCAGCTGGGTTGTCTCGCTGTGTGTCCGACTCCTAGCTTGATCCTAGCTCCATGATTTATCGGGTACTGTGATTTACCTGAAATGCTTCTTGTTTGTGCAGTCCCCAGAAACATGAGAAAGAGTTTCACTTGCGGCAGCTGTGGCGTGACGTTCTCCAGGAGGACCAGCCTCCGCGGTCACATCAAGAAGTTCCACGTTGGAGGGAAACTGTTCCACTGTTTCATTTGTGGCTCCGCCATCTCACACGTGAGTGTCCTTGAGACCTTGCTTCAGGCAAACACTGAAATTGAGGAGTTCATTTGTGAAAGTTGTGAGGATTGTGTTCAAAAGCAAAAGAGACTCATCAAGGAACTGGACGTCCATTCTCAGGAGGAGATAGTGGTTGTTGTTTACAATAAAGGCATCTCTGAAAGCGCCAATATTGTGAGTCACTGCAGGGACAGTGCTGGTGTGGAGACTACTAGCCCAGAGACGGACCATGTTACCGACGGTCAAGCCTGTAACAAACATAACACCACTCCCCCAGAGTACAAGCCAGAACTTGATGCCAGCGAAAAGTCACCAGGAGCTAATAACTCTTCCAAAGCTTCACCAGGCAGAAGAGGGCGCTTTTGCCATGGCGGTAAAGCTCATTCCAAGGGTTCTTTCATTTGCAAGGTGTGCAATAAATCTTTCTCACTCCGAGGCAATCTCAATATGCACCAGCTGGTCCACACCGGCGAAAAGTCCTTCTTGTGTGACATCTGCGGCCACGTCTACGCACGGAATCAAGCCCTGAAGGACCACCAGATGAGTCACACTGGAGAGAGGCCATACTTGTGCAGTGTCTGCGGCAAGTCCTACCGACACAGGAAGATGTACCACGATCACCAGAGAACGCACACTGGAGACAGGCCTTACACGTGTGGCACTTGCGGCAAGGCCTTCTCTACCAACACCACACTCAGGCAGCACCACCGGATTCACTCCAAAGAGAAGCCGTACATGTGTGGCACCTGCGGCGTAGTTTTCTCAAGGAGAACCAGCCTTCGTAAGCACATCAGAAAGTTCCATGTCGCAAGGAAACTGTTCCACTGTTTTAGTTGTGGCACCACCATCTCGCAGGCGATTGTCGTCGAGGCCTTGCTTCGGGCACCCTCTAAGATTGAGGAGTTCATTTGTGAAAGTTGTGCAGATCGTGATCAAAAGAGACACATTAAGGAACTGGAGGTCCATTCTAAGGAGGAGATAGTGGTTGTTGTTTACAATAAAGGCATCTCTGAAAGCACCAATATTGTCAGTCACTGCAGGGACAGCGCTGGTGTGGAGACTACTAGCCCAGAGACGGACCATGTTACCGACGGTCAAGCCTGTAACAAACATAACACCACTCCCCCAGAGTACAAGCCAGAAATTGATGCCAGCGAAAAGTCACCAGGAGCTAATAACTCTTCCAAAGCCTCACCGGGCAGAAGAGGGCGCTTTTGCCATGGCGGTAAAGCTCATTCCAAGGGTTCTTTCATTTGCAAGGTGTGCAATAAATCTTTCTCACTCCGAGGCAATCTCAATATGCACCAGCTGGTCCACACCGGCGAGAAGTCCTTCTCGTGCGACGTCTGCAGCAACGTCTACGCACGGAAACAAGCCCTGAAGGAGCACCAGATGAGTCACACTGGAGAGAGGCCATACTTGTGCAGTGTTTGCGGCAAGTCCTACCGACACAGGCAGATGCTCCGAGATCACCAGAGAACGCACACTGGAGACAGGCCTTACACGTGTGGCACTTGCGGCAAGGCCTTCTCTACCAACACCACACTCAGGCAGCACCACCGGATTCACTCCAAAGAGAAGCCATACATGTGTGGCACCTGCGGCGTAGTTTTCTCAAGGAGGACCAGCCTTCGTAGGCACATCAAAAAGTTCCACGTTAGAGAAGAAACATTCAATTGTGAAAGTTGTGGAGACGCAATCTCGCAAGAGAAGGCTGTAGAAACTCTACTTGTGGCCTGCTCTGAGGTGAAAATTTTCTATTGTCAAACTTGCAAAAAGCCTCTTTAGGATCCTAACAGTTGTGTTTGGGAGCAACTGGAAAAAAAAAATTTGGGCCATTCATTTAAGATGTGTGGACCATCAAACTCCAACGGTACAAATGCGAAGGGCATTCAAGATTCTGAGTTTTTTGTGATAACCTGTGTTTTGCCAGTAAAGAGAACGACCCTGTGCTTCAGAACTTAAATAGGTATTTCTGTTTGTAACAAGTCCAAACTGTACCTCAGCCATGAGATGATTTGACAGCAGTATTATCATTAATATCGTTAAAGATGAAACAAAAAGAATTTGTAAAAGACTGAGTTGGTTCATGACTGACAAACTGATTAGAAATGAAAACTTGATTTCACGATGCTTCATAGCACTATCGTCAGGGAGAAATGTCACAGAAATTTATTTTTACAGGTGAATCTTTGCAGTCAATTTGTGTTGTGCGTGCCGTGAAAGTTGTGCATATTCCTTTGGTAGTTGCATCTGGAGAGTTTTATCGTCTTTCAAAAACTAACATTTTCAAGACCAGCACCACAATTGTGGCTACATCACGATCTGGCATTGTGTCATTTGATTAATTATAAGCTTCTCATTCTCATGAGGTTGTCAGTGTGTCTGTGAAACTGACATAGCTTGCCTGACAGTCATGAAGCCTGAATGTAAGGCAGTGAGCAGCCTTCGCCAGAGCTTTTTGGTCGAAATAGACAATTTCAGTCAGAGGCAGCTTTTGGGTGTGCGTACGTCGTTTCACCAATTTCATTTTGATTTCTTGAACATACCTCAAATAAAAAACGGAACCTTCTTTTGGCCTGCACACAAGACCAAAGCACTTTTCAGTGGGGGGACTTTGTTTCAGTACGGTATTATGTTTTGTTTGAGTATTCTTTGCTCAAATATTGATGTATGTAACTCAGATACAACATGCTTAAGAATGTGATATGCATTTATATATATATACCATTTTTTCCCTTTTACAATCCTGTTCTCTGAATTGCCTACAGTCTAGTTCAATAGTGACTATACATGTACATACTAAAAACTTTTATACAGAACCAAGTTTGAAAGAATGTGTTTCATGTATCTTTTTTATTCTTCAGTGTTTTATAACCATGCAAATTTTTCACCTTTTTCAAAATGACATGTTTTGAAAATGGCCTCTTTGGTTACAACAAAGTTCAAAGTATAAAGAACTTCCCTTGGAAAAGCATTCCTTTTTCCTATTTTGGGGAATTCCCTTTTTATTGCCGTTGATCATGTTCTGAACATAGCCCACAAGAAAGTTCTTTTTGATGTTTGATAAAGCTGTTTCAAATATCCATTTTTCGTAAGCTCTACCACTGCTTGAGAAAGATAACAAGTGCTTGTTTAGGACAGTGTCTGATATCACCACTGTAAAATTGCTTAACATACAAGAGCAGTATTAATTTCTGCTTCCTTTTTAGTGTGAACAACGGAATAAATATTTTGTTATCCGTTGATATGAGATTGTTGTGTTGGTTAAGGTTGAAGTGGTAGCGGTACGGATTGAAGTAAAGTTTGTGTGAGAATGCAATCTGGATGTCTCATGGAAGAAACAGACATGGTCAGTAAAACTTCCGTCAAGCAGGGTTCTCACCTTACAGTGCAATTTTTTTTTTTAATCTGGGAGAGGAGGGGAATTCGAATCTGGAACTCCACACCCTTCCAAATAAAGGTGGTAATGCCATTTTTATATTGCCGGTGCTTTCAAATCCTAAAATAAAATTTAAAAGAAATTGTCAGTATGTCTGTGGGGGATTGGCTTATCCCCTACCAATAGATCCTCCACTGAGGAGCTGATGGTAAAGAAGTTACTGATTGTCAAAAAATAGCTGGTAGTTAAAAGAAGCTGGTCGTCAAAATGTAGCTCTATAGGCATATCCAGGGTTTTGGCAGGGGATGGTGGATTTTTTGTCCTCTGTTAAATAATACTGAACCCGCAATCCCCTCCATATATATGAGTAGTGCCGTTTCTAGAGAGAAGACACTGCAATATGTTTGCGCCAAAAAATTGTTGCCCTCTACTCTAGCCACGCCCATACAGATTACAGTACTACTGATGGGTACGCTGCGCTGCACTTTAATCTTGAGTAGCGCCCTCTATCAACGAGAAACTTTCTTCCAATTAAAAATCGACAGGCGCTGTTTTCCAATACTCAACTTCGTCTTCAAAACCAATCCCTGATTGTGGGCCTGAAGCAATCGAATTAAAATAACTGTAATGTTTGGCTCGCTTGTATCTTAATTGATGTTTTTGGCACTGTCAGATTAACTATCACGCTTACAACTTCAAAGTCGGGTAATAAAAAAAAGGAGAAGCCTCCGACCCCGTCGGAGTCGAGTATTGGAAAACGGCCGAGCTCCAGTTAGTAAGAAAGGGCGCCCTCTCTAGTTTGGAATAAATCACGAATTTCGAATTTCAACCCAGACGTCAATCAACCAGGAAGAACGAGACAAGTTGTGTGAAACCAGACTGTTGTTTACGATGCAGCGTGATCGTGTATTTGACACCCGTGCTCTTGAGCTTGGGGTACACACGTGTATACATAGTGAAATCTAAGTAGTCATTCTAGACTGAAAAAGAAACATGCGTAAGTCTGATTGTTACCTACAGAAGAGTTAAGACTTTCTCACTCTTTCAAACCATTTTTCCCTCAACTATGAGTTAAAAATAAAGGACGGTCAGTTGATGATTAAATATCAACAGATCGTTCAAAAAAGTCAACCTAAATTGCACAGCAGTTGACTGGTCATGCAATACATGTGTCTATCACCTTTTCACTTGTTTGAATTGCCCGCCAAAATAGATTGTGTCTTACTGCAAAAAGCAGTGGAGTTTTTTCTTAATAAATGAATTTTATGTGATGTTCCTGAAGGTAGGAACTTTTAAAAAAAATGTTTATTTGTCCAATTTTACTAGTAGCACATTGAATTGAGCAAATTTTTTTCTTTGACTTGTTCAACTTTATTTTTTTTCTTCTGTTTCTGACAATATTAATAATATGCAATTTGTACGGTCTCTGAATATAAACAGGATAATGTACAAGCTGGTATTTTTTCCAGGCAAAGCAACATCTAATAATTTGATGCAGGAGGCATTTTAAAAAGGATTTAACTTTCTTGTGAAAAAAGCATTTAGAATTTTTTTTTCATTCCAAAGTCTGACTTGGTATGTTTTACACTTGTAATCTTGTTATTAAATTACCTGCAAAGAAAAGGGCTACAAAAAGCCTACATAGAATTGCCATCAGCTTCTTATGAAAAAGAACGTCAAGATAAACTCATGATTAATTAAAGAACTGCTACAGTTTCTCACTGTACAATTATGTGATGAATTGAATGACAAGAATTACCAAAGACCATGTCCCAATTTAGTGAAATTCGTTGTCAAAGCTTAAAGTGTCAAACAGAGGGTTTTCTTCTAATATGAGGGATGTAATTATTGTTTAGTTTACCTGCTGCTGTCACCATTTTTTGTTGGGGGGAGAGAGATGTGTGTGTGGTCTCTTTGTTGTTCCATTGTCAACAATCTAGACTTAATTTTTTTCCTTTGGACCTTAAACAGGTCGAGACCTTGCATTATTGCTGAGGGTTTGCACTTTTTTGCTGAAACACTTTATGTAATTGTCTGTCCCTGCCAAAACACAACTTTGAGTCCAACCAGAAACTGGTCTGCCACTAAAGCCTGAAAAAGTCGACAAGTCTCAAGTTGGCGGATGCAAGCCAGAAACTTTGTTCTTGTCACCTGCAAGTTGCCTTGCTCTGCGTGATGCAAGGACCGATGATAGGGGTCAGAGATTATAAGTATTCATGCTGACCAATCGCCCGCAAAACACGGAATTGATGCAAGCCCATGTAGACAAACATGGTTCTCCTCCCCTGATTGTCAATTATACAGCATCAGTGTTGACAGGACGTGGCATCCCACATCCCCCCTGCGCCTAAAGACCCACGCATAGCATCTCCCTCCCACCGTCAGTGTCAGGTATGATGCATAACACCTGCAGAACGTTGTTGACGGTGAAAGAAAATCATTCAGGATGGGGCCAGACTGCCAGACTAAAAATGGGCAAATTTCTAGTTTATTTTGCTGCTGGTGGATTAAGGCCTTGTTCTCAAAGCCCCGACCAAATCACATATCAGTCTTGCAGTGTATTTCAGTTTTTTTCTGCCCCCCAAAAAAATAGGAAATTGAGGCTTTTTTCAATTTACATCCAAATCACTGTGAATGCCTATGAAAACAGCACTGAAGATGAAGACAATTGCAGTTTGACTACTCTACTCTTTCTTGGACAAAATTAGTCCACTGAGCGCTGTTAGCATCTTACATGTATGTGATGTCCAAATTCTTTTCTGTACTTAAGCAAAATTGGTCTTATTAATATTGTCAGTGGAATCTAAAGGACTGTGATACCAACTTTTTGTCGACCCCAACCTAAAAACGCTGACCGCTGACAAAACACTCGGCAGGCCCCACACATCCCCTCAGACTGGCATCCATACTGACTCAAGATCCTGTTCAGCTCTGCCAGCCTGAGGGCTCTTGTATTTGTTTCCCAACTTTCCAGTGGGGTGCCGGCAACCGCTGCATGTATGGCCAGCGGGGGTAACAGCATTGGCATGGAGATGGAGGGCATTCATCCCAACCCAAGGAGGAGCCAAGATGAGGAAAAGTGAGCCAACTTTGGTCATTTTACGAAGGTTGGTGATTCCCTGGTGGGCAGTAACACGCTCATTTTTAACCCATAATGAAGCCAAGTTTGGACCTTTAGACATAAAAAATGTTCAAGATGTTGAAGTTCATCTGTACAGATTTAAAGTTTACCATGTTTAAATTCTTTGGAAACTGTTGCAACTGAGGTAATGGAAGAATAAGATGTCTGATTTGGAAAATGTCCACTCCTCACAGTATGATTAATCTGGCCAGACCCTGTAGATATGAAATAAAAGTTCCTTGCCAAATGAAAACAGTTTTCTCTTCTGTATCCAGTTCTGATAAAGACCCATCACAGACCAAACTCAGATTCCCCCTAAATTAGTTCAGAGTTAATGTCTTTCAGATAAATCAGCCTTAGAGCAGCACACTTCATAAAATTGACTGCTCTGACAATCTAGAACCAATTCAGTTCAGCAACAAAATTGACCTTCATTATCCATTTTGATTGTTTGCACTTATTATGGGATCAACCCAGGGGGTCTCTACAACCAAATGTTGTAAATTAGGCTAAGGACAGATACCTTTATAGCTTCACCTGAAGTGAACTTTGTGTTGCTTCAATTAATAAGTTTATTCTCTATGCTTCGCAGAACCTTAGTCTCTTCAGCTTATTAATATAAGAAACTAAATATAGTTTCTGGATATCTATGCCAGACTGTACAATTATTCAGCAGAACGAAAGCAACTTGGCGTAGAAAATTCAGCTGAAAATGAAATCCATTTCTGTTCCTTGCTTTATGCTTAAAATCAACTCAACTGGTACAAAGAAGGAAGAAAATAAATATGTGGTTTGGTTTGGCATCAAGTTCTTGAGTAATTCGCAAGCTTAAAGCACTCTTGCACATTCATGTCCAAAGCCCAAGTTGGCAAACATTGTAGGTAGAATTCTGATAACAATTTAGAGTCAGGATGCATATTAACATAGCTTTTTAAAAAAGAAAACATTCAACTGAAGTTTGTATCTTGGATAGAAGAAGAAAAAGCAAATTTGTTGTCTAAAAAATAAGCCGAAAAATCAGGCCAGCCTGTCCAGGGTTTCATCTTGTTAGTAACTTCAATCTTGAATTTAGTAATAAATTTGAAAAGAAAACATATCTTTACTTACATATTTTCCAAAACCACAGGCCAGTTCATTATTGTGGGGCAAACAGTATAATTTAATGAAATATTTCAGTTTGAAGTTTCCTCTGGTCTAGGCAGTTGAAATTTCAAGTTCAGCGAGTAGAAATTTAGTAAGCTTGAAGAAAGTGCCCACAAAAATCAAATTATTTTCAGATACTGAAGCTCTTCTCCAAAGCATCTGACAAACTCAATTTACTTTCTGTTAAGGCCTTATTTCATGAACTCGCAAAATCTGCAAGGGCACCCCTCTTGCTTGCAATGCAGCAGTCTTGCCACCGACTAATTTCCCAACCAGGCTGACCAAATATCACTGGTCTTACGGAATCTGTCATCACCACAAGCTCTACATTCTAGAGCTCAACCAAAGGGCTATTTTTTTCGCATATTTCTGCTGTTTGTCTGACAGATTTTCCCACTGTAGTGCTGTACAGCTGGCTGGTTGGGAACCATGTTATCTCCTCAAGAATCTGTTCGAGAATTTCGGGAGAAAAGGACTTTGATGAATTTGATGATCTGATGACAGGTAGGAGCTGGTTCCAATCCTTACACCCGAGGTTCTTGAACTCACATTAGGGAAATTTGTGGACACCCCTGGCCCACTAAAGACGAATAAAAAGGTAAGACTGTT